TCGAGTCCCTAATGAATCTCTGACATCTTCATTCACTGGTGCCCAGTTCAGTCTGACCTCTGACCTCTGACCTCCACTGAAAACAGCGTTTAGAAGAGTTCAACTCACACAGCCTGTCCTGGTTGTGTTCACGTCTTAAAGTCAAATATATTTACATAGTGCTTTTCGCGATACAAATAATATAGTTACCGTTTGTGATGATATAAACAATCAAGCGGCTGAGATTCTGCTCGATCCCAGAGGAGCGACGCGAATGAAATCAAGCGATAAACACGCGGCAGCAGAACTCTGGACTCCTGTGAACAGAACCTAACACACACTCAATCGAGTCCAAATCCTGCACTCATCACGATTGTGACTGTCGTATTAATAATGTTTGTGTTTGTTTCTCAGAAGGTTCTGAGAAAAGCTGAAGGACAGTTCCTGACATTAAGCTTGTTCTTCTCACATCAGCATAACAATACCAGATGATGGCAGACGGGAACAAAGGCGCTGATTGAATTTGAGCGTCTGTTTGGCATTTAATCGCATCTTTTGCTTTGTGATTCTGTCAGAAGCATCTGGGGACAAAAACACAAGGACACAAGATCCATTAGACACGGACTTCAGCTCAACACTTCATACAGAGGCATGATGGTCTGTGGATGTTGTAAATGTTCTGCTTTCTCAGTGTGTTATTTTCCTTTCTTTCAGAGCCAGATCGTGAAATAAGACGAATGTTTGAGCTGGAACTGGTGTCCCAGAGGAGACGTGAAAAGATGGGAATCTGCCAAAGGTCAAGACATGGAGAGGAATGACAGAAATAAAGCTCACAAACAAACTCCAGAGATCGAACGATTCATTCAGAGATTCATGTGTTTAGATGAGATCTTCAGGACAAGAGAAACGCTTCAGTTACACACAAAACTGTAACTCACAACATGAAAGATCTGGCCTAATGAGAGCAAAAGCCTGATGAGATGAGTTAACTGAAAGGAAAACACCTTTGATCATTAATACAAAGAGTTCAGACTCATAATCAATAAGACACTTTCATCCCTCTGGGTATTTACAACAACAATAAACCTTCATGTACTTTCATATGTATATTGTATCATGTATTTTTAGATGTTTTTGTAAACCTGTTCAGATTCATCAGGTTTGTGTGGATTTTCTGATGTTGCTTCCCATTTGTAGTTCGATAAAACTGAAAGCTTCATACACAATACAAAACATTACACACAATGAATAATGATTGTGTGTGTGTGTGTGTGTGTGTGAGTGAGTGAGTGTGTGTGTGTGTGTGTGAGTGGAAACAGTCATGACTACTTAACCAAACACCCGCTGTCCCGTTACGAGATCGTCCTCAGGTTCACATCTGAGCAGCTGCTTTTGTGTTTTGATATGTTTTATTGAGCTTTCTATCAGATCATCATTTACTGGATCTGACGACACATCTTTACATTCAGCTCTGCTTTCAGAGTTAGTTCTGTCAAATAATCTAGATATGTATTCTGATTCAGCTGAGTAAAGTCAGTCAGACTGTGAGACAGGATGAGAACGTCAGCGGCTCAGCAGCGTCTTCATATCTTTTATCATGTTTACTGGAACTAAATTGAGTTTGTTGGTCATTGTGTGCTAATGTTTGCACTGATGCATGAGCCGGTAATTTAGGAAGAGCAGAAGTCAGTGATATTCAACTCGTCTTCAGTAGATTGTGGATGTGAGCTCATTAAATGTTCATCTCATGTTTGATCATCAGCTCTTCATGATCTCACAGCTAATCTATATTCATTTGCACTTATGGACTACATTACAACCAGTTTGTGCTGAAATATTCATTAGAATATTTAATAAGAGAATACTGTATGTAGCTCATAAATATTGTTAATGAGGGGAAAATACAGAATGCATCATCACCTCTATCTATTTCGAATGCAGATCAATAACATATTATCATCTTTATAGAAAGAGATATAAAGCTGTAAGACAACGACTAGTTATTCCAGTGCCGGTGACGTTTCTCTCTGAAACAGTGCTTCTGATTTCTCAACATTAATCTCTTGATGAAATGATGGATGAAGCTGGATCACCGTGAGGAAATGAATCCATCATTTTCAATAAAACTGTCTGCTGGTTAGAGAATCTGACATGATGAGAACTTCATATCAACATCAGGTACTGGTTTATACTAATTAGTGCTGGTCAAGCTGGAGCTCAGCTAAAGTTCCATCATGTTCTTCAGTGTCTTTGGTTTTCAGAAAGAAAGAGGAATCATTTGAGAGGAGAAATTGTCTTAAAGGCACAATATGTAATTTTCGCCACTAGAGGGCGCGTATTCAAAATAAACAAAGAAACAAAGGCGTAGTTTGATGACGCAGTGACTGAGTGAGGAATCATGGGAGTTGGGGTCTTCATCCCCACAGCCGATGCAATCCGACGGGACTCGGGCAGAAATCATGTTCATGGATGAGCTAATAATTTATTAACGTAGTAGAATGAAGCAGGGTGAGGCTGAAAGCCATCGAAGCGAAACGAGGTCGCTGAGCGAGCGCGACACACGGCTCGAAAGCAGCGGAGCTTTTATTATGCCACAGTCGACTGCTTCCGCTCCTTCCGGTCGTGTGTATGTGGGGTAAAGCAGCACTGTTTTATCATACTAGATACATTTAGTTCTGTTATAATGCTACTCTGTGCGGTCGTCACCGGTCTATTAAAACGCACAACATATTAAAGCGTCTTTGGTGTTTCCATGTTTTCTACAAAACAAAACCGGAAATCGAGGGGTTATGACGTCATTAGCAGGCGACACAATGACACTATAGACACGCTCCGTGACACTAGTTAAAATTGCTTATTTCTCTGGATTTAAACATTCTTCGAAACATTTGGCATAATGTAAGTACACAAGTCAGCAAAATATGTAACACTGTTCTAGTGGTTTTTGGATATTTTAATTAAAAAATCTTACATATTGTGCCTTTAAACAGTTTCTTGTCTAAAAATAATCACCGCACTCCTTCCGCTGTGTTCAGATGTGGAAGCAGAACATGAAATGTTCTCAGGGTTGTTTGGTTTGTGTTCATATCCGTTATCAGGGACAAAATGTATTTATTGTGTTTGTCCTTCTGATCTCCAGAAATAATCAAGCGTACACTTACTGAGTCCATTAGACCGACCTCTGTCCACTTTCATGAGCTTATTACTATGATGTTTATCTAATCATTACTCTTCTGCTCATCTTCATCCATCCTTCAGTTTCTTATGAGAATCTGATCAATGAATCACTAATCTAAGATTTATTCACCGTTGTGTTTGATTGTGCTTTAATGTCAACAGCACAACACGCAGGTGTGATTTATTTTATATCTACAGTGAGGCATGTCATTATTACTGTTAAAAGAGTGTAATCTGTACTAACAAATAAAGCATTGTTATGATGGAGATGAATTATGAATCATAAAAGCGATGCAGTGTTTCTCTGGCGACTCCTGCTGGTCAAACTCAACCCTGCTCATCTGAAATCATTCAGGCTGATTATTGCTGTTTATATCGCTGGCTCTTGCTCTTCACTCTTCACTCAATCCTGTTGATGTTGACTGATTTTTATAATTCTATGCTTTCACCATTCCTTATCTCCCTCCCTGTTTGGCTCTTCTAGAGAGCTGTTTTTCAGGTTTTATTGAGGTTGGTTGTTGAAGAACAGGAGAGTCTATCCAATATGAAGGGCATAAACTCATTATTAAGATTATATCTCATGTTATGTCTCAGAAAGTCTCTGTTTCAGCGGGTAAACAGGCTCATTTATTAATCGAACACCTTTATCTTTATTTTACCTTTATCTTTATTATACTAATAAATATCTTTATTAGTAGCATTGCTGACAAACCCAAACTGAAGTATGAGATTAATAACAGAAACAAACACACTATTATTCTGAGAGGAGAGAATGTTCTGAGCTGCACGTTTAACTAAAGGAACAACATGGAATAAATCATCTAAACCAACAACATGTATGTTAGACCCTATTCCATCTAAGCTCCTAAAAGAGGTGCTTCCAGAAGTCATAGATCCTCTTCTGACTATTATTAATTCATCATTGTCATTAGGATATGTCCCCAAAACCTTCAAACTGGCTGTTATTAAGCCTCTCATCAAAAAACCACAACTTGACCCCAAAGAACTAATTAATTACAGACCGATCTCGAATCTACCTTTTCTGTCCAAGATACTAGAAAACGTAGTATCCTCATAATTATATTCCTTCTTAGAGAAAAATGGTATCTGTGAGGATTTCCTATTGTTAAAAGCGCTATATAAATAAAGGTGACTTGACTTGACATGGCATTGTGTTCTAAGTGCTCTATATTAATAGCTTTTCTATTTTTTTAAATGCATGTTTATTATGTCACGATAGTTTTTATTTTATAAATGTTTTATCTGGTGTTTTTATTTACAGCTCTTATTTATATCATTGATGGAAGTATATTGGCCATATATTGTATGTGCATCATATTCAAGACAAACTCCTGGTTTGTTGTTGATGAACTATGGTTTTGAACTGATCTCGGGCCACTTTCATGATGTTGGTTCAGTTTTAATGACAAACAAATGTGTGAAAAATGGAGAGTGATATTTAATTGCCTCTAATTGATTAGCCACAAAACAAGCCCTAGCACAGGGGCCTCCACACTCGGTCCTGGAGGGCCGGTGTCCTGCAGAGTGCTAACCCTAACCTGCCTCAACACACCTGTCTGGACGTTTCTAGTATGCCTAGTAAGAGCTTGATTAGCTGCTTCAGGTGTGTTTAACTAGGGTTGGAGCTGAACTCTGCAGGACAGCGGCCCTCCAGGACTGAGTTTGGAGACCCCTGCACTATCAATTAGTAAAAGAACACATTATACAGATGCGTCATAATATCAGAATCAGAAAGGGCTTTATTGTTTACACACACAAGGAATTTGTCCTGGTGTCAGGAGTTCCAGTACAAAAAATACAAACATATTGCAGACATACATATAGTTTAAGGTAATAAAAATACGAGGTTTGTAGTGCTAGTGTTAAGCATGTTAGGCTCGTTGTGACCAGCAGGTGTCGCGCTGCTGCTTCCCAGAATCCCAGAGGAAGCGTCCGTGCGCGACGTGGATTGTGCGCATGCGCAGAAACTCCAGCGGCTGAAGAACTTCTTGACACTCGAGTCTGTTTGAGTGACTGAGTGCGTAACCTCTGCGGTTCGGCCGTTCGGGGATGAGTCCGGCTCCGGTAAACCCGCTGCTGTGGTTCCGGGTGTGCGATGAGGGCGATCTGGAGAGCGCGCGGAGTGTTCTGGAGGATCCGGGCGGGTTCGGTCATGTGGACGGCACCGATGAGGAGGCAAACACGGCGCTCATGTTCGCTTCCGCCGGGGGACACGAGCAGCTGGTCCGGTTCCTGCTGAGGAAAGGAGCGGCAGTGGACCGACGGAACCATTACGGCTGGACGCCGCTGATGCAGGCTGCGAGGTTACTGTAACAATCACGACACAACGCTTGATACAAACACAATGAGAGCGCTTTCATCTCGTGACACTTCAGAAGAATCCCTGTCTTCAACTAAAGCTCATTATTACTGTGACGATTTGTCTTAATATGAGCGCTCAGCGTATCATTAATTCTTCATTTTTACACACAATCCGTTGGGATTTCGTGTTGATGAATCTGGTTTAGGAAACTGAAGATAATTCTGACTGATTAGCATTATATTTATAATTGCTTTGGCTGCTGTTCTCAGCATGTTTACAGCGACAGTGACTAGACTAGTGTAGATTAATAATATAATGCAGATGTTTATGAATGAATTCATCAGGATTCACTGTTCATTCATAGTTATTTCATAACATGAGCACCAAATTATAACATTTATTTGGACAGAATCAACACTGATAATGTAATATTCACAGCTCTAGTTTATTGTGTTACATAGTTTAATTAAAATGAACATGGTTTACAGATCTTTTCATGTTTTATTTTGACACAATAAAGCGTTTGCAAGCGTGTGTACCTTAGATTATTTAAATGAGATATTATGTTTATTAATATTTTGGATTTGTTTTTATTATAATATTAAAGTAACTTTGTTGTGTGTTTTTGTAATTTTTAGTAGTTTTTGTATGCATAGTTTGTATTAATTTTATTTAAGTTTTAGTTCAAATAAAACAAGAAATGTTTCCTTTGTAATAAAACTTTTTTTATATATATTTTAGTTCAGTTAATGTTTATTTTATTTCAAGTAACAAATGTTTTTCATTTTAGTTTTATTTAAATATATAGTTCAGTCATGAAACTCTAGATGGCGCCGGCTGATGAGTTGTTAACGTAACTGATGATATTCAGAGAGTTAAACGACTTGGCACAAGCTGATTGGTTCATGCTGCATATGCAGCCAATGAGCTTACTGCCTTGCGTTTATATGGCTGGCTAGCATTCACTAGAGATTCCTGCAACATGCTTTCATAGTTCTCTGAAACCCTCCACCTTCCCCAGCTCCACCTGTATAGATCTGCTTCGGGTTATTTTATATGCTATTTGTGCAGCAGCAGTATGTCTTAAATACTCACGGCATCGTATCGCCGTATGCATTGGTAGCAAGTTCCTGTACTTGCTTGCAGCAGCAGCAATAATCTACAACTACAGCAATAACCAGCAGCAGTACATATGTCTTGGCAATAGATCTGCTTGTTCTGGGGGGTTTTACCTTTTATATTTCTTCTGCCTATAGAGATGATTTAAGCATATTGTATAGCAGCAGCATACATATTTAATTGTTTAGTTTTCTTCTTCCAGCTTTGTTGGGGGGTTATTTTATATGCTATTTGTGCAGCAGCAGTATGTCTTTAATACTCACGGCATCGTATCGCCGTATGCATTGGTAGTAAGCAGCAGCAATAATCTACAGCTACAGCAATAACCAACAGCAGCAGCGTAGCAGATCTATTCCGCCAAGACCAAATACATTAACATTGTCATATCCATCAGCATGCTAAAATCTTCCGAGAGTTGTCATGATTGAACTATAATCTGGGATCAGACGCTGATTGTCCATGCTCCCGTCTGCAGGTCCGGTCATCTGAACGTGGCTCATATTCTGCTGGAGAACGGCGCGGAGATCAATGGCAGGAACCGGATGGGTGCCAGCGTCCTGAGCATGGCTGCGCGCGGCGGTCACGCTCACGTGGTCAAACTCCTGCTGGAGAGCGGCGCCTTCGTGGACGACTTTGACCACCTGGCGGCGGCGGAGGGAAGCGGTAACAACAGCGTCCACGGCGACAGCGGCAAGACGTTTCTGGAGATCACGGCTCTGCTGGCGGCCGCTCAGCACGGACACGAGGCTGTGGTCAGGCTGCTGCTGGACTGGGGCGCGGAGGTCAACTTCTGCCAGAAGAGCTCGGGCTGGAGCGCGCTGATGCTAGCGGCGGCCGGCGGAGCGGTCAGCGTGACGCAGCAGCTGGTGGAGCGAGGAGCGGACGCAGATCATCTCAATGTGCTGGGCAAGACGGCCTTCGAGCTGGCGCTTCAGCTGCAGCACAGAGACGTGAAGAACTACCTGGACTCCATCACCACCGTCCGGCCGCAGCCAGGTAAACACCTCCAACATCACCTAACGTTCGTCTGAAAAACCCTTCTGAGCAGCAGTGCGTCTGCGGAGATTTCATCAAATTCTCTTTGTGGTCCAGGAGTTAGTGTTGTCTCGCGTCTGTGTCACAGACTTCAGCTCTTTTCACACTGAAAGTGATACAACAAAGTAATGGGAATCGCTTTTGAAAAACACCAAGATCTCTTGCACCACAGAACATTTCTTCCTCTTCTTCTTTCAGATGCTGCTGCTCAGGAGGCTTCAGTGTAGTGCAGATAAACTTCCATCAATTCAGATCTGTTGCTGGTAGAAATACGCTGTGTCTGTTTAGATATAGCTGGCTGTTCCAGACTCGCTCTGAGTTTTGTTGATGGGTGAAGATCAGAGTCCAGTACCGTTTTAATGGCCTGAGATGATTGTGGAAGCAAACACACGAGCTTGTTGCTTCAAGCAGCTGCAGCAGCGATGGTCTCGTGTATTTTCACATCTGACGTAGTTCTGCTTCTGTGTGCTGAGCTGGTTAGTGTTGGTTTAGTTGTTGGCAGATTCCACCAGCAGCTCGAGAGACGAATGAGATCAATACTATCATTAATGTTGCCATTTTCATCTGCTTTCTACTCAACAGATGATGAGAAGAAACGGCCTGATGTCTTCCACGCGCTGAAGTTAGGTGGGTTCTCGTATAATATTAGAATTCGATATGTGACCCTGGAGCACAAAACCAGACATAAGGGTCAATTTTTCGAAATTGAGATATATATACATCATCTGAAAGCTATCTAAAATAAAATAAGCTTTCCATTGATGTATGGTTTGTTAGGATAGGACAATATTTGGCCGAGATACAACTATTTGAAAATCTGGAATCTGAGGGTCCAAAAAAAATCTAAATATTGAGAAAATCATCTTTAAAGTTGTCCAAATGAAGTTCTTAGCAATGCATATTACTAATCAAAAATGAAGCTTTGTTAGAACGAGGCGTTTTAGGTAGGTGTGGTTAACTCTTAACTTTTATAAAGAATATCTCTTTGGATTTGAGACTTTAGTCTTTGCAACTTTACAGATCTTCTTTATGCACCAAGAGCTTGTAACACTCCAAAGAGAAAGGAAAAATTGAAATCGCATCATATGACCCCTTTAATATCCTAATGATTTTTGGCATAAAAGAAAAATTTATAATTTTGACCCATACAATGTATTGTTGGCTATTGCTACAAATATACCCCAGCGACTTAACACTGCTTTTGTGCTGCAGGGTCACATATTATTTGTGGTGAACCGCTATGCATAGTATAGGCTTAATATGAAGTCCTTTATTTATGTGAACCCTAAACATCAAATAATTTAAAGTAAAATTGAACAGGTTAGAATTACAAAAATAAAGATTAGGTATTAAAAGCATTGTTGAAATATCGAAAATGAAGAAATGTTGCAGCTGATAATTCTGTCCTAGTTTCATTGCTCTCACACTGGTTTTTGAGGTGGTCTGTTCCTGGCGCAGATGGAGTAGTTTCGACACGTTCGTCATGTCGTCACGTTTGCTTTGTATTGATTCTGGGGATTAATGATCCCAGCGCTCGTGACGAGTGAGCTGCAGTGGGTTTCCTTCAGGTTCTGTAGTGTGTGTCAGTGATGTGGTGTTGTGCTGTAGGAAACGCTCAGCTGGTGAAGGAGATCGTGGAGGAGGACGCGTCTCAGGTGAACGTCTCTAACGCAGACGGAGCGTCTCCTCTGATGATGGCGGCGGTCAGCGGGCAGCTGGAGGTGGTGCAGCTGCTGGTGGAGAAGCACGCAGACATGGACAGACAGGACTCGGTGCACGGCTGGACGGCGCTCATGCAGGCCACCTATCACGGGTGCGTGTGCCATAGCGCTGGTGTTTGTCAAGTCACCTTTATTTATACAGCACTTTTAACAATACAGATTGTGTCAAAGCAGCTTTACAGTATTAAACAGGAAAATAGTGTGTAATAATGCAGAAGGACAATAGTAAACACTCAATTTTCAGTTAAA